CCTGGCGCCTCCCCACGGGACGAGCAGGTTTTGTGGTCTGTAAAGCCTGGGGTGCGCCTCAGGGTCAGCTGCATAAGCGGTCCTCACACAGGCAAGGTGTGGGCCTCCCCGTGGCCCCACTTCACCTGGCCTCAGGGTGGGTGACCACCGTTTTCAACCGCCTACGTGCTTAGGAAAGCTGGTCCTGGGGCGGTAAGTATTTTAGTGGCTGAGTCTGGAAGGCATGTCCTTGCCTTGCAGAGCTGCCAAAAATCATCTCCTTGGTCAGCAACCTCGGCACCTCAAGCCGTGTCAAAAGGCTTCATCTATCCGGGCCAACTGCTGTCCCGTCACTGGGGCCCTGCCCGAGTCACCCCAGCAAAAGCCCCGGCCTACGGCAGGGAAGTCTGTCATCTTCCTCTTCCTCATATTCTGTGAGGTCGTATAGCACTGGGGGGACAGTGCAGGCTCTGGAAAGGGCTACAATGGCCCTAAACCGGTGGACCCTTAAAGACACTGTGCTACATCCATACCACGGGTCACTGCTCTGCGATCAAAAGAAAGAACTAGAAGGACCATCTTCAAGCAGCCATTCTCCAGAGGTCACGTGCTGTGTGACTCCAGGCGTAGAGCAACCCCGGCATGACAAACTTCGGGCGGGAGGGCAGAGCTGCCGCTGGGGATGGGTGTGAACATAAAGGGGCAGCACAGCCGGGTCTCTGTGGTGGTGGGCAGCCCTGGGTCCTGACGGAGCTGGTGCTGGCTACGCGGACGCATGTGGGATAAAATGATACAGAGTCATACATACATTCCATATTCATGTCAGCGTCCTGGTTTTGAGGCAGTATTATAAGCAACTCCTGGGGGAAATGAAAGAAACATGGGATGGGGGGCCTGGAACTCTCTGTACTAGCTTGGCAACTTCCTGTGACTCTAGAGTGATTTCAACATATAATATTACACAAAAAAGAACAGATCTCGGGTCCAAAAAGCCCGTGTTGGGCTCCTAGCCCCAGTGGATAAAGCCTCAAGTCTTTGGACCACATAGTTATTTCTCTTCATGCCTTGCTCTCCTCATCTGGAAAGTGGGGGACGCAATAATAGCTGAGGCGAAGTGGTTTGTGAGGACAAGATGAGCTGAAACATGTAAAACTGTTCCACGCCGCAAAGACACAAATAACAACCACGCCTCCCACCAACAGGATGGGCGTGTCCAGCCACCCGCCAATCTGGGACTTTTCCTGGGATTTTGTATGGCAAAGCTGGGAGAGAAGCACTTTAGACAGCAAAGCCAGGGCGACTGGATATGGAAGGGCCATAAGCTCAGGGTCACCAGCTGCATGTCCCCCCCTGTATGGAGAAAGCTAATTCGTGGGTACAGAAACACAGAGAAGCGAGATGGAGAAGCAGGGAGACCCCGAGAGAGCCCCCTGGCCACTTAAGCCTCTGGAGCTCAGCCCTGCTCTTCTGGGGGATGGTCAGATTATATATCTTTTATGCTCAAACTGTTTTGAGCCGAATTTCTGTTACTTTGTCTAAAAAAGCCTCGTGGCTTTGCAAAGCATCTAAGTGCTGCACTTGGCCAACAGTGGACACTCAACAAATGCTGGCTGCTGCTGTGGTGGTATCTACATGAGTTTGCTGTTGCAGCTGTTAACAAATTACCACAAACTTGTGGCTTGAAGCAACAGAAACTTATTTTCCTACAGCGCTGGAGAACTGGAGTTTGCAGTCAGTTACACCGGGCGAAAGCCACGGTGTCGCAGGGTGGCCCGCCGTTCTGGCAGCTCCGGAGAAGGAGCCATCCCCTGGCCTCCTCCCCTTCCGGGGGCCACCTGTGTCCTTGGCTCGGGGCCCTTCCCTTCCTCCACTTCCCAAGGTCATCCCTCCAGTCTCTGCTTCTGTCGTCATCACGTGGCCTTCTCCCCCGGGGCCCTCCCGCCACCGTCTTCTAAGGACACAGGGACAATCCAGGACCATCGCCCTCTCCAAAGACCCTTCATTTAATCACAAGTCCAATCTAAGTCCCTTTTGCCTTGTAAGGTCACACTTGCAGGTTCCAGGGATCAGGACACAGACATCTTTGGGCAAATGTATGCAACTTGCAGAGCATACTGCTAGTACATTTACTCACTTATTCATTCGACTAACACGAGGATGGAGTCCTACTAAGTGCCGGACCCTATTGCAGGCACTGGAGAGAGTAGTGATTGAAAAAAGACGCTGCGTTAATAAAGAACTCATAATTAATTAGACTCAGCTTGCTGGCATGTCTCTTTCTTGCGATTCAATCCTAACACCTTCACAAGGATTACCATCAAGTGAGAGACAGAGGCAGGCATTCAAACAAATTGATGAACAAGACATCAGCAGAGGTACGTACTAGAATGAAACACAGGTAGGATAAAGGGACGGAGGTGATGGGTGGGGTGGCCCATGTTTTCGGTGGCGGCAGGGGAGGCCTCTCTGGGCAGGCACCTGAATGCAGGGAAGATGCGAGCCATGGAGATATCAGAGGAAGAGCACAGCAGGCCGAGGGAAAGCGAGGGCCAAGACCCCACAGGGGAATGCCTGTGACAGGATTTGACAAGGAAGCGGGTGCCACTGGTAGGGGGCATGGGATGAGGAGGAGGCAGAGAGAGGTCAGAAGGGTGGCAGAGGTCGACTCGCAGGTGGCCTTTTCAGTGCGTCAGGATTTCGTTGCTAAAAGGTGACTTTGAGCCGGGCTCAGTGGCTCAGCCTGTAATCCCGTGCCTTTGGGAGGCTGAGGTGAGTGGATTGCCCGAGCCCACGGGTTCGAGACCCACCTGGGCAGCAAGACCTCATCGCTACAATAAATCAAAAAATCAGCCAGGCATGGTAGCACGCGCCTGTAATTCCAGCTACTCAGAAGGCTGAGGCGGAAGGATCACCGGAGTCCAGCAGGGCGAGGCTGCAGTGGCAGGAGCGGCCGCTGCACTCCAGTCTGGGCGACAGAGTGGGACTCCAACTCAAAAAAAAAAGAAAAAAAAAAGATGACTTTGGGTGGTATGCGGAAGACAGACAGGAGAGGGTGTGGAAGCATCCCAGGCAAGGGACAAAGGCAGGCGGCTTGGGCAGAGCGGCTGAGGGAGGAGGTGAGAGGCGATCGGACTTGGGAGATATTTTGAGTGAAGAGACGAGAAACTTCACAGAAAGGAGGAAGGAACACGGGATGACGCCACCTTGCACTTGAGTGGTGGATAAAAGCGCAATTGACTGAGATGGGGGAGCAAGTCTGGGAGAAGAGACGTCCGTGCCTGGAGTTCTGTTTGGACGGGCCAAGTCAGGGGCCCCTCGGACACACTGGCGGAAACGTCGAGCCGGCAGCTGCGTGGTCAAGCCTCAAGTCCAGAGCAGAGGTCTGGAGAGAGAGTGAGGAGCGAGCCGGACGTGGACCGCATCAGCGAGGGAGTGGGTGCAGCTCGAGAGGAAGCCAGGCCCAAGGACTCAGTCCCCAGGCACCCAATACCCAAAGCCACCAGGAGGCAGCACCCAGAAAGGGGCCTGATCAGGAGCAGCTGGGGCTGGGAGAGAACCAGGCATCCGGGTCCCGGGAGCCAAAGAGAGAATGTGTTCAGGAGGGCAGACCGTAGGTCACGTGCCACGCCGAGGCCAGGAAAAGCAAAGGCTGGGACTCGGCCGCCCGGAAACACACAGCTGCCCTCACCTGAGTAGAGTGCTTGCAGGGAAGTGATCGGGAAAGCCACCCCCTGCCACGGCCTCCTTCACCTCAGTCTGAACCACTCACCCTCCCCGGCACGTGCCCTGCAGTCTCAGGCCTTTAAACCCTTGCACCTCACTCCCTTCTGGAAGCAGCTGCTCTCTGCCTGGCTCCCCTCAACCCATTCTTCCGGACTCTACCCAGCTTTCCCTGGCCCCACATTCTGCGACGGGTGTCCCTCCTCCAATCTCTCACTGGCTTTAACCAGCTCTGCTGTAATTGTCCCATTTCTAGTGTATGTCTGGGCTCTTAGGACGAGGTCAGTGTCATACACCTCTCTGCCTCCAGCATTTAACCCAGTTCCAAAACGGAGATGGTGATCAGCAGACAACTATTAAATGCATAATGGGTCAACGGTAACTTTGCAAGCACCCTTCAGATTCATCTCTTCCCAAGGCAGAGGCTATCCCCTTATTGCAGGGAATGTGAGGACAGGCCAGCTCATTGTCATGGCCCTTTCAGCACCCATAGTCCCGGATCAGAAATTATCAGGACAATTCAATTCACCGGGTCAAGTCTTCCTGAAAGGGGTGACATAAAAAGCATAAGGGGTGTCCCATAAGAGGTGACATAAAGCCCATAAGGAGTATCATCAAACCCATAGGGGGTGACATAAAACCCATAATAAAGACATAAAAAGCATCTATGTGGGCCAGGAGCCTTGAGAATCTGGTGCCACTTCTACAGACAGAAGTGAACCATAAAGCCATGCAAGGACCCAGCACAGAGGAGGAAGCCAGGCTCAGAGAGGACCAGAGTGGCACTATCTTCCCTCCCTCCTTCCTTCTCTTCACTGGACTCTTCTTTATTTCCTCGATACCCCAGGGAGACTGTGGGCAACTGCAGGCACCAGGATGGAATGCTTTAACCTCCTAAGGAGGAGGGAAGAGCAGGAGGAGGGCAGAAGGGAGAGGGAAGGAGGAAACACTGAGCTCCCTTGGTTACTTTCCCTGGCACAAAAAAGAAAGTGGCAAAATGTGGGGACTGCTGTAGACGGCGTGAGCTGGTTAATTTCATGCGTCAACTTGGCTGGGTCACTGCGCCCAAATATTCGGTTAAATATCACTCTGGGTGTTTCTGTGGGGGTGTTTTGGGGCAAGACAACACTTAAGTCCGTGGACTCTGACGAAAGCAGACTGCCCTCCACCTGTGGTGGGCACCCCCAATCAGTGGAAGGCCTGGAGAGAACAGAAGGCTGGCCTTGCCTGGGTCACAGGGGGATTCCGCCCGCGGATGCCTGGCCTTTGGACTTGAGCCGCCGCCCTTCCCCAGGTCTCCAGCCTGCCGGCCGACCCTGCAAAATTTGAACTCACTGGCCTCCACACTCATGTCAACCAACTGCTTCAGTACACTCTCTCTAGATGTAGACTCATCCTATTGGTTGTTTCTCCGGAGAATTCTAAAATTCTAACTGATGCACAAAGTCAGCGGAGTAGAAGTAGGCATCATTGGGTGACTATGCCAAGCATGAAGTGGGCCGCGGAGAGAAACGATGGCCCCATCCAGACCTGCGCTGCAGGACTTTCTGTCTGGCAGTGTCCCAGAGCCAACGATTTAGCAAAGTGTTGTGGCTGGATGCTTGTGTCTCCTTCATAGTTCATCTTGAAACCCAGTCCCAAACACCGTGGCATTAAGCGCTTCCAGAGGTGACTGGGCCATGAGGGCTCTGCTGGGCCACTGTGCCCTTGTGTTTGGTCACTGGGATTAATGTCTCATAAACGGGCCCGAGGGAACCCTCTTTGCCCTTCCATCCTTCCGCCACCGGAGGACACAGTGTTCCTCCCCTCCAGAGGATGCAGCAACAAAGCACCATCTTGGACACCCAGAGCAGCCCTCACCAGACACCGAATCTGCAGGTGCCTTGATCTTGGCCTTTCCAGCTCCATGAACTGTGAGAAAATAACTTTATGTTCCTTAGAGATGACCCAGTCTTAGAAATTTTGTCAGGCAGCAGAAATAGACTGAGACGTAGAAACCACAATTTAAAAGAGCCAACAATCTAGAAAGGAACGTGGGTGAAGTTCCTCCACAGGTGACACTGGCTTTCGGTAAAGCCTCAAAGTAACAAAGAAGAAAGGGGGGAAATCAGAGTTGAGTGTGAGATGAGCTTAGTTACCCAGAGACACAGGCCCAGGTCTGTCATCGTCTCTGCACCCTGCAGGGAAACCGAGGAGAAAGCACGCAGCCTGTGTGGCCCCCACGTCAAGCTGAACCCCACGCCCCCTACAAGCAGTGGCGAGCCCTCGTGGCTTCATCACTTCTCTGTGTCTTGGTCCCTTTATTCATAAAATCAGGTAATAGTCCCTGCTTTCTGCAAGGATAAGACAAATAAAAGATCTACAAGCCTAGGATGACATTTAGTGCACAGCAGGTGTTCAGGAAGCATCAGCCCTCCCATATAAAGCCCAGGTGAGCTGTGACAGGTGTGGTGCAGTAGGGACACAGACTCCTCTCCTCAATTCTCTGAGCTTTTCAGCGTGAACTTGGGTGAGCATTCTGCCTCTCTGGGACCAGTCTGTAAAGGGAGGATGATGGTAGAGCCTGCTCATGAGATCGCCAACAGCAAGTCTTTAATCTGGGTCCTGGCACAGGCAGGTGCTCTCTGTCGTAAATATCAACAAAGCCCAGCCAGCTCATGTCAGAGAGAAAGGGGCACCTCAGATTCACCGCCGACACTGACACTCCTGTGCTAACCTTGGCTTCTTGTTCGGTGCGGTCAGCCCGAGGTGTCCATGCCCAGCTCCAGAACCTGTGAATGTATCTCCCCTGCATGGCAAAGGAGACTTTGCAGATGGGAGAAAGGTTAGGGTCTTGAGGTGGGGGCTTATCTGGGTTATCCAGCTGGGTCCTTAAAAGCAGAGACCCTTCCTGCTGTGGCAAGTCAGAGAGAGGTGTGACGATGACAAAAGAAGGGCCAGAGACACACAATGTTGCTGGCTCTGAAGTAGAGGAAAGTGAGCCAAGGCAGGCAGGTGCCTCTGGGAGCTGAGAAGATCCGCTGGCTGACCGTCAGCAAGGAAATGGGAACCTCAGTCCTGCAACCACAGTGAACCAAATCCTACCAATTAATTTTGAGTGAACGGGAAACTGAACTTCCTTCTAGAGCTCCCCCAAAAAACTGCAAACCTGCCAACACCTTGATATTAGCATGGAGAACCCCGTGGCCTGGGTCAAGTCTTCCTGAAAGGGGTGACTCAGGATCATACAGTCTGTGTTGTGTTAAGCTGCTACTGTGGTCACTTGTTACAGCAGCAAAAGGGAACTGATCTATTTGGGAAGTGTTGTGTGGCTGCGGACAGCTGTGGCTGATACAGCTGACTGGGCACCTGAAAGTGTCCCCAGGCCCTCCGCCTGCTGGCTCCCTTCTTAGAGGCTGGGGAGTAAGTGTTTGACTTGCAGCCTTCCTCACAGCCAGCGGGGTATATGGGCCAGTTCTCCTCGGGATGTGAGTAGAATCTGCTGCAAGGACTTGGGGGTGTTTGCTTCCTTGACAAGAAAGGGCAGGCGGGGTGGTTGTTATTCTCTCTTTTCCCTTCTTGCTCTGACACAGACCTGGAAGCTAGAATTGTGAAAAGAATTGCAGGATGTGACCCTGCTGTCACGAGCCAGCGAGCACCTACCTCCAGAATCTTGCGACTTGCATAAGCCACCCTTGTAAGTCATGTGTCCTGCTACTTACAGACACTAGGAAGCACAGGAAGCCCATCTCGGATGCATATAAAGCACAACCAGTAGCTTATGGTCAGGTACGTAACTGCGTAAGGCTCTGGACAACGGTGACCAAGGACAAGAAAGGTCGGCTCATCTCAGCTGGGAGAGGTGTAACATGGGGGGCAAATGTCACTAGCTCCTTGCTGTTCTCTCTCACCAACTTTATTCCTGGTGGAACGAGCACTCAGTTCGGATCAAGAAGAGGGGGGCGGTTTGGGTGACTGTCAAGTCTCAGAAAAGAAAGCGACTAAGGCAATCGTGATTCCTGTGGCGGGTGGCACTGACTAGTGTCCTCTGCTTGCTGGGCCTCGTGCCAGGGGCTTTGCATACATCCCCTCCACAGTTTCCGAGGCTGGCTCTATCATCCCCATCCGACGGCTGAGGACTCGTGGACTTTGAGAAAAGGGCGAAGTGACACACACCGGCAAGGGGCGGCCTCAGACATCTTCTCACCTGGCTACACAGGGTCACAAAGGTGTCTGCCTCCATGTTTTCCAGCAAGTCTTCCAGCACAACACTGTTCCGCTGCTCCTCTCTCAGTCTAGAGTGAAAATAAAACCTGCGTGAGTCCAGCTTTGTTACCAAGGGACGTCATGAGCAGACCACCGAGTTATTTAAACAACAAAAAATCACACATGTAAGCCGAATGATTTTAAAAATGCATCCACAGTAAGAGATGGCCAGAGAGGTCTGCTTTCCTCTTCTTGCCTAGACTACTTTGCAAATAAGATATCAAGGAGAGTTCGCTAGGAGGGAGGGCTCCTCACAGTGAGAATGTTCATGGGAGCTGGAAGGAGACCTTCCTGTGGCCTGCAGGGTGGTCTGTGATTCCACTTTGAAAACTCTGCCTCAGCCCTCATGGCCATGACCAAGAAGACCAAGATCTGGGGGCTACGCCCACCATGTGCCCTTGGGTTGAAGCAGACCCATGACCGTTTTTTAAAGATGGTCCTGGCTCTGACCGCAAGATGGGGTGGCCTCTTCCCACATGAGGCTTCCTGAATTCCACATGAGGGGGCCTGCTTAATGCAACCCTTAGCCAGAGTTGGCATCTTCGATCTGTCACACCTTCTTGCTGGCTAATACAACCCAAACCTTCTGCAGGTTCAACTCAAATCAAAAGCTTCATAGCAAGCAATCATCTTCAAGGAGCACATGAATATTGCATGCCCTAAAATCCCAGGCTAAATTAAGTGAACACCGCTGAGCTGAGCATTGATCTCTAACCACACAGATTCAGCCCCCAGCCCCCCCATACAACAATTTCAATGGAATAGAATGACACATTGATGTTGTGTTTACACAGAAAAATCTCAAATAAATTAAAATCACCTGTAAGCTAAATAAATTAAAATTAAATAAATTAAAATCACCTGTAACTACCCAGAAATGCCATCTGTGAAAAATGGGTCTATTTCCTTCTAATTAATTTGTGTGTGTGTGTTTTTGAAATTCAATCACACTGTGTATAGAGTTGCATCCTATTCTTTCCATACCCATATTATATTCGCAGTGGAAAATTATGACGCTATTAAAAATGATGTTTTTCCGAGTGTCCTGTGTCCTCGTGGCCACGGCCAAGGCTAATTGAAAAAGAATAAAGAAAGAAGATCGGGGTTCTTTCTGTTTCATAATTTCCCAAAAGCAGGATACAAAATGCTGCGTTCGTGGTGAAGCTGGAATAAGGCCTGCAGTCTAGCTCATGCTCCTGTGCCAGTGTAAATTCCTGGTCTTGATGAGACACTGTGATTATGTGAGATGGTACCAATCGGGGCAAGCAGGGGGAAGGGGACACGGGCCCTTTCCCTACTGTCTTTGCCACTTCTTGTGAGTCCATAATTATTTCAAAACAGGAAGTTTAAAAATATGACATCTAGTAAGGCGTCAACAATGTTAAGATGGAAAAAAAAAATAAGGAAGGGAGGAAGGGTCTGCTGCAAAGCTCGCAGCTCACACCTGAGCACTGAGCCCAGGTGGGCGAGGTCCAGCTGGTTGGAGAGACCCGCAGAGGACTCCCACCACGCAGTGTCACGGGCGCACGGCCTACCTCTGCTGGCGGTGCTCCAGTAGCTCCTGGCTCCTGCCCAGGGCTCGCTGCAGGACGGCGGAGACCTGCCCTTCGGAGTCCGTCTCCCCAGGCTCGTTCAGAAGCCCAGGCCCCTCGGCCACCCACTGCTGCCAGCTCGCCAGGGCCTGCTGCTGCTGGGCCTCCTCCTGCCGGGCAAGCTGCTCCTCCAGCTTCCTCTCCAGCTCCTGGAGCTCCTGCACAAGGAGGGGCAGAGGGTGAGTTTCACTGCACGAGGCAGCCGGGCAGTCGGGCCAAACCTACCTCACGGGCATGGCTCTCCCATCCAGCCAGGCCCCATGGTGCAACATGACTGCACCAGGAGTTCTCACACCTCTGTGCCTTGGGACATGCTGTTCCCTTCTCCTGAAGTGCCCTTTCCAGTTTGCCTGACGAATCCCAAGTCTTTCAAGCGCCCAGCTTCAGAAGGACTTCCTCAGTGAAGGTCTCCTTGATTCCCTTGGGAGACATAGATGCCCACTCACCCCCCCCTTGCAAATGCCTCCTTTTCGCAGTCACCTGAAATCACCACCCTGAGCCTTTTGCTAGAGGGTGAGCTCTTAGAGAGAGGGCTGTGTCTCCTTCTCCCTGTCTGTGATGCGCCTGGCAGCTGACAATTGTCAGTGCTGCTTTGGAGCATCTGCATGCACCCGCCATGGATGAAAACCAGCTGGGACACAGTGACCATGGCCAACACCACTGGTACTCACAGCATGCCAAGCACTGTTCTGCATGCTTTGCTCATACTAACCTCATTCAGTCCTTTTAACAACCCTTCTGAATACATACTCTTATTTCTCTCATTTTGTAAACGGGGAAATTGAGGCAGAGAGGTAAAATAATTTTCCAGGTGATGCAACTATTGGGTGGCAGAGCCGGGGTTTGAGGCCAGGCATCCAGATCAGATCGTCTCGGCACAAGAGACCGTCACTCGCTTAGGTGGGTAAGGGGAGGGTAAGGAAGGCCCCAGACTTTGGAGAATATAGGCACAATTAACCCATCCTTTACCAGATTGGCCCATGCTGTAAGCTCGGGAGTGGGGTTTACTCCTAAAAGGTCTTGGATGGGCTTCGTTGGGCGACGGTAGTCCTTGATCCTCTTAAAATATGTACGAAATGTTCTGCCTTTCTGCAGAAGGGCCAAAGCTTTCATCACACTCCCAACGGGTCTCAAAGCCCCTGAAGGACTCAGAAACGCTACTTGAGAACAAAGACACAAGGAAAAATGTCCAGAGAGGTAAACTGAAGCCCTTACATGGAGAGCCTTGCATCCAAGCCCAGCATGCGGGTGTCATCCCCAGGGCTGTGGGGAGCCTTTGAAAGCTATACTGCACTGGGCTCCTGTCATGCTGAGATGGGTCATCATGGCCAGCATTCCACATGGAAACATAACCCAGTGCAGAGTCTCTGTCAGTGTGTTCTACTGAGCTGTCAGCATGGCCAGGAGCCTGGGTCAGAAACCAGGCTTCTGTTGGGATGCCAGTCCCAGGCCACTGCCTGGGGAAGGGAGGCTGTTGGTGTCCCCAAGGAATGGTGGCACGCAAAAAGCTGGCTTCTCATGTGCCAGGTGAGCCCTGGTTAGGAGCAGGAAATAAGGCGGGAGTGTTTCCTACAGTGCATCATCTCCTACAGCAAGTTTTCCCAGGACTCCAGGGCTGTCCCCAAACTCCTGCACCCGACATCTGCCTGCCACTTAGCATGTCTGGAATTCAAAACTGAGTCTTGAAATTTTCTTCTCTAAGACCTGTTTCTCTCTCTCTAGATTTTATTTATTTTTATTTATTCTCCCTCCGTCGCCAAGGCTGGAATGCAGTGACATGCTCACGGCCACCCCAGCGTCGACCTGTTAGGTTCCTGCGATCCTTCCACCTCAGCCTTCCAAATAGCTGGAACTACAGGAGCACGCTACTACGCCCGGTTAATTTTTTATTTACTGTAGAGACAAGATCTTGCCAAGTTGCCTGGGCTGGTCTCACACCCGTGAGCTCAGCAATCCACTCGCCTTGGCCTCCCAAAGTGCTGGAATTACAGGCTGAGCCACTGAGTCTGGCCGTCTCGCTAGATTTTAAACACTGAAGGCAGGGATTCTGGGACTGTCACAGACGTGTTCACCTTTCTCCCCAGCAATGGGCACAGTATCCAGCTCATGGAAGAAGGAATAGTATAATAATAATAATAATAATAATAATAATAATAGCAGCTGGCATTTACTGAGTGCCCATCCCGTGCCTGAGCTGACTCAGTATTTTTCCATGAATTAATTTACTTAACCTTCATAAAATAACACATGGCAGAAATTTATTTTTAGCCCATTTTAGACATAAGGTAACTGTGACACAGAGAGTTTAAGTAAATCTCCTGAAATCACAGAACCAGGCAAGAGGCAGAGTTAGGAGTGATTTCAGGTTTCTTTGATTTCAGGTTTCTCAGCTCTGTTGTCCCTAGTAAGCATGCCACAGGGATCCAGCAAATGAATGAATAGACAGATGATTATGATAGATGGATGGATGGAAGGGTGGGTGGATGGAAGGAAAGACAATAGACAGATACACAGACAGACAGATAAATGACAGATGGATGGAGATAGAAGGACGGATATACGGAAGAATGGATGGACAGAAGGATGAATGGAGGAAAAGATGTTGATAGATGGGTAGATAGATAGACAGACAGACAGGTGATAGATTTCCAGCTTTTTACTGGGCATGGGGGACTCAGTGCTGAATGAGACATGGCCCTTAGACTCAGAAAATTCAGTCTAGTGAGGGAGACAGCCGTGTAAACACTGCTGCATTTGAGAGGTGCTGGATCTGAGAAATGCTGGAAACGAGAAAACTCAGGCAGAAACAACAGACCAGTGGCACATGGGCAGTAAGGAGAAGGAAAGATCAGAGGAAGATGCCCAAGTTGCCTTGGGGAAGTAGATTCACGGCATTTTAAACTGAAGTGCAAATACAGTGGGAACTCAGTTTGGGGTCACATTCTCTATCACGAGTAAGTTCATCCTGTTTAACTTGGAAATGGGAAATGCCACCATCTGCTTCAGGATGGAGGGTTATGGGAGCACAGACCTGGGAGAGACCAGCTCCGTCAGAGGAAGTCACAGATGGCTTCAGAGAGGAGGCAACATTTGGGCTTGTCTTGGAATTTGGATAGGAGTTTGCAAGGAGGTATGGCAGAAGCATTCTGGCAGAGGTCCCACAAAGGGATGGATGCCCAGATGCGTCTCAAGTGCTCAGTAGACAGCAAGATGGTTCAGGGCCCCAAATGCAGGGTCTGAGGGAGGAAGTAGGGAAAGGTAGGACTTTCCAAGGCAGAGATGGAGCTGTGAGTCACCACTCTATTTTTTGGAAACATGCCTTTGGCCGCAGTGTGGAGCAGGAACTGGAGGAGGTTTGAAAAGGAGGAAGGCAGACACTGGCGTTAGGACAGGAACCTAGGCTTTGGCGGCAGAAGGCATCAAGTCTTGCTTTCCAGCTGCAGGGCCTTGGTGAAATGACTTCACCTTCCTAAGCCTCAGCTCCCTCACCTGCAGGATGGGTATAAACAATGCCACGGGATGGATGTGAGGCTTACACATGTAATCTGGTGCTTGGACTTAATGGAAGCTCAGCAAATGTTAGGCAATACTATGTTAATTGTGTTTTTGTGTTCTAGATAGGTCGGAGCAGTGAAGCTGGGCGGTAGAAGCCGGGAATGAGCAAACTCAGGCAGAATCAACAGTCAGTGACTAGCAGCACGTGGGCAGGAAGGTGGAGGAAAGATCAGAGAAAGATGTCCAGGTCAGCCTTGGGACAGTGGACGCACAGCCATTTAAACTGAGATGCAAAAACACAAGTACACTTAGTTTGGGGTCACATGATCTGCTGTGAGTAAGTCCATCCTATTTAAATTTGCCCATCACAGCCACGTGGCCCTCGGATCCAACTGAGCCCTGCCTATGGTCCAATTTCACAAAATGAGTCTAAATCTTTCCTCAAATGAGGTATGCTTGGTACGGTTTCCTTAGGAGCCGTTTCTTCCAAAGCATTTCATTTCATGCTTTTTTAATTCTCCAGAATGTTTAGCAGCTTAAAAGCCCATTCTCCATAGGCAAGTGGTTTACATGGAATGAGCAAACCACAGAATGGAAGCCTGGAGCAAAATATCTGGAGCAAAACAAGAGGCCCGCCTTCCCTCCAAATGCAAGCCGAGGTGCAAGTGCATGGTATCTGTTGCCTTCTCACCAATTCGGTAATACGGCACCGTCCGATTTACATCAGTTGCTCCCAATTCAGGACATATCAGCTCTTCTGTTCTAAACAAACTAAGGCCAGGAAGCCTTGACATTGCTCAAAAGAGCTTTGAGATAAAATGGACTCTAATTACTAACAGGAATCAGGGTGGTCTCAGTAAAGAGCACCATTAAGTGTTTGGGGCTGAACTGAGGGTGTTTTCAGACACTTAGGATGAACTGAAAGCCAGAGGCTCCTAGCGTCTCACTCTGCCACTAACTCGCTAAATGACCTTGGACTTGCTCTTCCTTCTGAAGCCCTGATTTCCTCCGTCGGGAGTGTAGGGCAGCAGTCCAACTCCTTGCTAACCCCCGGAAGTGTTAATAGTTGCTGTGGTTTGGGGGTAAGTACTCGGCTGAGGTTTGCTCCTATCATTAATTTGCTAAGGAGCTTTATTCCGAACGGGTGTTAAATTCAATCAAAGGCTTATTCTGTATGTGCTGAAATGATCATATGGATTTCCCCCGCTTTAATTTGTTAATCAGGTGAATTTTGTAAATAGATGTTTTCATGTTAAATCAACCTCTGTGCCTACGATAAATTCAATCTGGCCATGATGTCTTAAATTTTTTAAAAATGGATGGATTATGTTAATAGTATTCTGTTTACAAATTGTACATCTATGTTCAAGTAAGATAGGTTGTTCTTTTACTATTCATGTTTGGTTTGGGTGTCAATGTTATCTGAGCATCATAAAATGAGCTGAGAAATACTGCCTATTTTTCTAACACCAGGAATAATTTATATATGAGACTGGCAAAACACATTAAAGTTTGGTGAAGCTCACCTATTAAACTATTGGTGTTGGATGTGTGTGTACATTTGGAAGACTCTAAACTACCAAATCAATTTCCTTCATAGTAATGGAACTGTACAGATTTTTCCTACTTCAGTCAACTTTGATTATATTTTTCTAAAAAAGTTTCCATTTTATTTCCCAATGTCATCTACATAAAGTCGTTCATAGTATTTTCTTATTTTCAAAAACACTATAGCATCAATAGTCCTGTTACCTTTTATATTCTTGATATTATTTACTTTCCCTTTGCTTTCAATGGTTGGTCTTGACAGAGATTGTTAATTTTATTTTATTTATTAATTTTTTTTTTTTTTTTTTGCATTGGCATCTCACTCTGTAACCCAGGCTAGAGTGCAGGGGCACGCTCACAGCCACCCCACCATCAACCTGCTGGGCTCTGGCGATCTTTCCACCTCAGCCTTCCAAGTACATGGAATCACAGGTGTGTGCTACCGCGCCTGGCTAATTTTTGATTTTGTCGTGGAGATTAGGGCTCACCAAGTTGCCTGGGCTGGTCTCAAACCAACTGACTCAGGCAATCCACTTGCCTCGACCTCCCAAAGTGCTGGAATTATAGGCTGAGCCACCAAGCCTGGCCTGTTTGTTAATATTTTATTAGACTTTAAAAAAAACTCAGCTGTCCACTTTACTGATTTTTTCTGCAGTAGTTTCGTCTTTAATTTTATTTATGCTATGCTCCTTCCTTCTACTGTCTACAGGTGCATCTCTGGTTTCCACTTTTTATATGATCTTAATTGTGAGTCTGAAGTTCTTCTTTTCTAATATAAACGTAGGGCAAAATGTCCCTCTAAAAACTGCTTTTGCTGAATTCCACACATTTCATTCATTTTTTTTTGTTTTATGTGCTTTTAGGTTTCCATTATGATTTCTTTGACCCACTACTATTCAGAAGTACATTTTAAAATTTCCAAAGTCTAGAGTATGAATGTTTTATAATTATCTTTTAAAAATTGATTAACCTTAACTGCCCTTTGTCAAAAGGTGGTCAAAATAATATTGCATAAGCCGGGCTCGGTGGCTCAGCCTGTAATCCCGCGCCTTTGGGAGGCTGAGGTGAGCGGACTGCCTCAGCCCGCAGGTTCAAGACCCGCCTGGGCGGCGAGACCTCATCTCTACAATAAATCAAAAAATCAGCCGGGCGTGGTAGCACATACCTGTAATTCCAGCTACTCGGAAGGCTGAGGAGGAAGGATTGCTGGAGCCCAGCAGGTCAAGGCTGCGGTGGCCAGGAGCGGCCACTGCACTCCAGTCTGGGCGACAGAGTGAGACTCCAACTCAAAATAATAATAATAATAATAATAATAATAATATTGCATAGACAATTATTTTAAACTATTCCAATGTGTGTCAAAGAAGAATATATATTCAGTAGTGGTTAGCTGTTAGATTCTATATATGTACATTAAAACACCTTGTTAAGTATTAAGTGCATCTATATCTTTATCTGTGTTTCATTTGATTAACCTATCAACCACTGAAGGGAGTGTACTGAAATTTCTCACTATAACAATAGATTTGTCCATGTCTCCCTGTTCTATCAATTTTTCTTTTTGTTATTTTGAGCGTTTTATTAAGTATACACAAGTTCAGAATGGCTGTATGTTCCAAGTGAATACAATGTTTAAATCATTTTTACTACCTTTAATTACTTTAACAATCTCATAAATCATTATTATGTCACATTCTGTGCTACTTTAGATATCTGAATCCAAATATCTAAAGTTTTCAAGGATCTTAGCCTGTTTTTTTTCAGCTGTGTGTTTCTCCTGTATAGAGGATATCTTATCTTGCTTCTTTATACATTGAGACTTTTTTTTCTTCAGTTGAGAGCTCATAGTTGGCTGAACTTAATCTGCGAAAATTCAGAGGTGAGAATATTTTTCTCATTGAGAATATTTTTCTCTGGGAAGGATCTGTCTTTGGACCAGGACAGTTAACCAACCTGGAACCATTTTACTTCACGGTATCACCCGGAGCTTTCCTGACAGGATGGCCAACCTACACTTGGATTCACTCCCCATGTTAGCAGAAGTCCTCCATTGGACACTCAGAGGGAGGCCTTCCTTGCACTTGGAGGAGATGTGGAGACAGGTTTCGACAGGTTTTGGTGGAGTGGGTGGCTTTTTCCTCCCTCCTCTCACAGGGTGTTCTAGTTCCTTGGGACAGACATCCCACGGCCTTATCTCCCATCCCCTCAAAATTAATCCCAAATCTCTAGGTTGGAGGGTTCAACCTTTGCCCCACAATGAAACCAGCTTCTGAATTTGCTTTTATCTACCTCTGAGTTCAGCTTACTCTAGGAAGTATCTTGGATATCCTTGAGGATTTTCCAGATTGTCTGGTGAGCTCGCAAGCGTTAAAAAGTATGTTTGTTTTTGTTTGTCCAGCATCTGGATGTTTTGTGCTGAAATACCTATGATGCCTCCACTTCCTTTCTATCTCTAAAATAGCTGCCACAGTGCAGGGTACCTAGTGTCTGCCCCCAAAACAGTCTTGGACTCTTCAGCATCTATTGTTGTTTGTTACTTTTAAAACAGAGTATGGGAAACCACCTCCCCCTTCCCCATACAACTGGTGTAATCCATGTACATAATATCATGGCTTGAATTTGGAAACAGAGTTAATCTCTGGCTTCTTCCATTGATTGGCCAGCTGTGTGTTCACAAAGAGCTTGACCCGCTGTCTGCCCGAATCTGTTTCTTTACCTGAGATTTGAGCAGTACCTACTTTATACAGCATGGCTCAAGAATTAATATAATGAATGCCAAAGAGGATAACTGTAAAGCAGCATAAAATGGCAACTTATTAATTATGATTAAATAATAGTCTTGAGAAATATAATTAAGTAAACAGTTATTTTCCCCCTCTTTATTCTATTTTAAAGATGTAACTTACTAGACAGGATTAGGTCCATAAGTGGTCTATGTACAGGTAAGTGAAGAAACTATTAATGCTACAGAGAAACTTGTCCATTCACAACTCAGGAGTGCTTCTGCCCCATTCTAGAGACTCAACATAAGTGTGGGGTCCTTTTTTCTCACTGTAAGTCATTATGATAATAATAGATAGCAAGTGCAATTCTAAAATCTGCACAAGAAGGACCTAAAATTAGTCTTCAAAACAGTTATTACCACAGCTTTTGTTTAATGGATATACCTCTCACACCTTGAAAAATATAGCACATAAGAATAATGGTCATCATTAGAATTATAAAAGTCATAAATAATCCAATATACCATTGCATTTAGGATGTCATTCACTGGAAGATACACTGTTGTTTATCACAGCACTAGGAAAGTAAGAGTATTGCCAATGAAATTACAGCATGTGTACCATTGACTGGAAGACACAGCCCAGTTTTGGAGATGTCAAAAATCTAGCCTGGGCTTGGTGGCTCAGCCTGTCATCCCAGCACTTTGGGAGGCCGAGGTGAGTGGGTTGCCTGAGCCCGCAGGTTCGAGACCAGCCCAGGCAACTTGGTGAGACCCTGTCTCTACAATAAATCAAAAGTGAGCCAGGCGCAGTAGCATGCACCTGTAGCTCTTGCTACTTGGAAGGCTGAGGCAGAAGAATCACCGGAGTCCAGCAGGTTGACGCTGGGGTGGCTGTGAGTATGCCCCTGCACTCCAACCTGGGTGACAGAGCGAGACTCCGACTCAAAAAAAAAAAAAATCTAAAAGGACAGCTTGAGTTGAGAGACTGCATTTTTGAGTTGAGAGCATGCAAAGTGCTCTCAACGAAGTCGCCTCCCTTAATCCTCACCACAACTCTGTGGCACCGACAGGACAGGGACTGTAGCCCCTCCCATGATGGAGGACACGCAGGTGGGTACCAGCAAGAACCAACGCCCAAGGGTGACCGGCTCTGTCCTTCTCCTTCCCGACACCTGCACTCACCGGGCCGTGGGACTCCAGGATCTGGGTGCAGGCTGACTTGGTCAGCGTCTCCAACACGCTCAGTCCCTCCAGGAGCAAGTCCTGGAGGCTGAGGAGGGCGGTGTAGGCTGACAGGGTCTCGGTCACCCGGGCTGCCTTCTGGAACTGCAGAGCAACAAGTGACTCTGCGAAGTGCCCCTCCTGGGCCTCCAGCTGCTGCACTCTCTCCCGCAGCAATTCACCCCGAACCTGGAAGAGGAGAGCAGTGAGTGGGAAGGGTGGGAGAGAGCAAGCAGCCTCTCCCAGCAGGGCCCAGGATTCTGAGGCTCAGAGGCTTGCAGAGAAGGAGCCCTGGGAATCTGCAGAGAGCAGCGTATGGCGGGGCATGCCCGTTTATGAAGACCCCACGGGGCTTTTGGAGTCCAGTGCCCTCACACCATATTTATCATCCTTAAAGGCCAACTGAGCTCACTGCTCTACCATTCGGACCCTTCAAAGGCTCCCGTGTCCTAGACATTCAAACTTCTCGGCGTGGGCTCCAAGGCCCTGCCCACCCTATGCTCAGCCAAGGGCCCTCTGGGCAAGTCTGGCCTGTTCTTGCACACCTTCCACACGCCTGGAACCCTGCCATCCCTGAGTACACTGTGTCTGGCACACCATGCCCTTTGTGTCTGTGGTAGGGGCTCTTTGCAATGATGGAAATGCCCTCCCATCCTCAGCTTCCCGAGATTCTACGATTTGGCCTTTGGGTCTCTAGGTCCCAAGTAGCCCCTCTGAAGCATCTACTTCTCTTCTCTGCATACTTTCATCCCAAGCCAGCTCCAAGTCAGACGTCCAGGACGCAAGCTCCACCTCTTGCTATCTTACTATTTGGTGACCTTGGGTAAGTCCTTGTGCTCTCCATGACTACACTTCTTCCTCTGTAAACTGCAGGTAATAATACCCCTCAAGACATGGGTTTCTTTAATCCAAAACAGCTGTATTTGGGTATACATAGCCCGCACATAAAGTACACAATGTGCTAGGTTTTAACATATCTCTACCCCTTTGCCACCATCACCACAATCGGGATAGTGAGGATATCCAGCAACCTGAGAGGATTCCTTGTGTCCTTGGGAATCCCACCCCCACCCCACACTAAGTAACCACGGATCTTTTTTCTGTCCCCATTGATAAGTTTGCATTTTCGAAAGTTTTTAACAACGGAACCATACAGTGTGTACTTTTTTGGTTCTGGTTGATTTCACTCAGCATGATTATTTTGAGATTCAGCTTTTACCATCTTCTTCTTCTGGGGAGAGAGAGTATTTCTTATGCTTTCCCTTCCTCTCCTGGGTTGGACTATTAGCTGACTCTGTTTTGTCATTCTGGTGGCTTGCTTTAGGGTTTAGAGCACACATCCTTGACTTATCACAAGCTGCCCTCAAGGGATACGATACCACTTCACACAGAGTCTAAGAACCCTATGCTAGTTTACCTCCATTTCTCCCCTCCTGGTCTTTGTGCTACTTCTGTCATATATTTGAATGTTGTATGTAATGAACCCCATAGTACTTTATTTTTGTTGAAACAAGTCAACTAAGCTTTAAAACATTTTGCATTGAGATGAAATTTACTTATTTATTTTTTAGATGAAATTTACATAACAAAAAACTAACTAAAGTCAACAATCAAGTGACATTCAGTGTTGAATAGTAAACACCTCTATCTAGTTCCAAAACATTTTCATCACCCCAAAAAAAAGACTCCATGCCACGATGCAATTATTCTTCAGTCCCCCCATCTTGCAGTCCCCAGTAACTAGTGATCTTCCTTTTGTTTCTGTGGTTTTGCTTATTTGGATATTTCATATGAATGAAATAATAGACTGTGTAAGCCTTTTGTGCCTGACTTATTTTACTTGCGTAATGTTTTCAAAATTCATCTACTTGTAATGTGTCAGAACTTCATTACTTTTTTATGACTGAATAATATTCCACTGAATGTACAATCAATTTTAATAAGATTTTTAAAATAAAGAGAGTCTTAGGTATTTACCCAGGTGGTTGCCATTCCCAGTGCTCATTTCTTTGTGTGGTTCTAGATTTCCATCTGGTACAAAAATCCTCCTGCTCAAAGAACTTCCTTTAACATTTCTTACAGTGTGAGTCTCCTGGTGATGAAATCTTTCAGCACTGTATGTCTAAAAAAACTTATTTTGCCTTCATACTTGAATTGTATATTTCTGAATATACAATTCTAGGTGGCAATGTTCCCCTCCAAAATTAGAAGACATTGCTCCACTGTCTTCTCACTTGCATCATTTGAAAGAGAAGTCTGCTGTCAATCTGATCTCTGTTTTGTAATGTTCACACTTTATTTTTTTCCTTTAGTTACTTTTAAGATTTTCTCTTTTTCACTGGTTTGTAGCAATTTGATTGCAATAGACCCTGGAATAGTTTTTTCCAAGTTTCTTGTGTTGGGAATTTGCTGAGCTTCTTGAATCTGTGTTTATAGTTGTCATGAAATTTGGCAAAATTACAGCCATTAATTCCTCTAATATTTTTCATCCTCCTCTCTTTCCTCTCCTCCAGGAAATTCAATTGCCCATATATTAGGCCACTTGAAGTTGTCCCACAGCTCACCAGTGCTCTGTTAATCTTTTCTTCTGTTTTCATTTTTCTAGCTTCAACAGTGTTGTCTTCAAATTAACTAAACTTTTCCTCTGAAATATCTAATCTGCTGTTAATTCCTACACACACACACACACACACACACACACACGCACGTTTTTTGGTATCTTCCCTATTTCTATTTAACCCTTCTGGATATATGGAACACAGTTATAATGACAGTTTTATTGCCATTCTCTGCTAATTCTAACATCTGTGTCAGTTTTGAGTTGGTTTCAATTGATTGATTTTTCTCCTCATTAGGATTTATATTGTCCTGTTTGCTTCATGCCTGTTAATTTTTAACCAGACTAAGACACTGTAAATTTTACAGTGGGTCCTGCATATTTTTGTATTTCTATAATTATTCTTGGGCTTTGTTCTGGCATGCAGTTAAGTTATTAGAAAACAGGTTGATCTTTTCCAGTAATGTTTTTAAGCTCCTTTAGTTGGGGCCAGCTTAGGGCTCATTATTCCCACTGCTGATACAAGATCTTTTGGGGTACTATATCCAATGCCGTCTGAATTACAAGGTCTTTCCAGTCTGGCTGGAGGAAAGATAAACAATAATAGGCTTCTTGTGCAATGCATACAAGTCAGTTTGCCCACACACTAGATTGTAGCAGAGAGAGAGATTTAGTTGCAGGACCACAAAACAAGGAGACAAGAAGACACCTCAAATCCATTTCCCCAAGGAGTTTGGGGCTAGGGTTTTCATGGATTTTGGAGTGGGCCAAAGCAAAGAGATCACTGACTGGTCAAAAAGTGCAAGATGAAGTCAGGAACAAGGAGATGAAGAAACGGTTTCCTCATGCTGATTCAGTTCCTCTGTGTGGGTCTTCAAACTGGTTAGCATCAGCTATCCTCCTGGAATTCGGGATTTGCTTACATAATTCTTAGGCAAAAGTCTTATTATTCCAACATTAGAAATCCTATCTTGGGGCATACCTCATCAACAAGGGTACCTGCATAATCAACGTTTGTATAACTTAACCTGAATTGTACCCCACATCTTTATAATTTAAAAAAATCCTATCTGTTGGAACAATGGACATGCAAGTGGTCAGTATCTAGTGTTATGTAACTTTTGGTTATGAAGAAGTAGATCAAAGTGCAGTCTGATTAATGCTTAATTATAACTGCATTACTGTCCACAAACCTTGTTAGCTCTGTGAGGATGGCTTGAAACTGTCACTATACCTAGCCCTGTGTGCACTGAGCACTCCTCTCTAAATCTTTTGCGTGGTCCTTCCCCTTGCCTTTAGTAATTTTCTTACACAAATGTACTGAGCAGGTCTCAGCTGAATACGTGAGAGAACCCAATGGGTATCTCTGGAGTTCTCTCTGTGCAGCTTTCTTTTCTGATAGTCTGCCCTGTGAAACCAAGCTGACTTGACTTCCCCAAATTCTTATAATAGCTTTGTCTCTTCCACTCAAGAGTCTACCGGGCAATATCTGGGTTCCTTCTTACTGTGCCTCTACCTGGAAACCCTTTTAGAACAGTAAAATTTAGCAATCATAGGACTCCACTCATTTGCTTTCATTTAATCACTTTTGACTGCTGTCCAGAGTCCCGAAAATCACTGTTTCATATATTTTGCTCATTTGTTTTAGGTGAGGAGCAATTCCAATCCTTTTTATTCTGCCTTGTTCAGAAGCAAAAGTCTTCATAGAGTTACTCTGATCATTAAATAATCTAATACATTTAGGTGCTTAGGATGGTGCCTGACACATGGTAGTGTTTAATAAATGTTAGCTGTTGTTGTCATTTTTGATGGTGGGCTTATTAATACTATTATTACTGAAGGTACAATATGTTGGGTGCCATAAGGGAAGTCCATATATGGTGCTAAAGTAGCTTAAAGAAAGCAGATGGTGGATGAATCAGGGAAGCCTGTGAAGACACTGGCAAATGAATTAGACATAGAAGGATCCAGGCATTCCAGAAGAGGAACAGCATGACCAGAGGCAATGAAGCACAGGAGTCCCTATGGAGATTTGTGGGAGACTGAATTGGGCCAAAGCTAAGAGGCAAAGTGGAAAATGGAGTCACAGACAGGTTGGGCAGAAATCACACTGCACAGCCCAAGACAGGAAGGCAGAGCTTCTTCTACAATGGGAGAGGCAAGCCAGTTGAAAGGCCCTGAGCAGGAAAAACATGAACCATGGAGAAGGAGGTGAGCAAGAATTGAATGGGGGGCCTCCTTCATCACATGCTTGCCACACGCTCTAATTTCCAGTCAACTTCAGTGTGGTTCAAATCTCCCCTCTTGGGTGGGTGACAGTACCAGTGTCCTGCAAGATTCAGTCCCCTGCAGACATTCAGGGTAGAGGGCACAGTGAGGTGGCCATGAAGGATAGCTCAAGTTTTATTTATGCAAATGCACTCCTAAATGTGAGCAAAGTGTAAAACCTTTTGTATGTATTATAAATTCTCTAAAACTCTTTTTCTTTTTCTTCTTTGGAAAGCTTAGTTTGTTAGTTTCAGTAAGATGAGAATGTGTCTCTAGAGAGGGTTTTAATCCTTCGTCTAGAAGAAATCCAGGGAAAGGACACAGATTTGCATTTCTATGAGGAATTAATAAGAGGCTTCATTAA